CTGGGGATGCAGGTCCGTCCCCGCGGCCCGCAGGCCGGCCCAGCGCCTCACCTTGAGCCGAGAGCTGTCGGACACTGTTCACGAACTGCTCCAGGGCAGAGGCCATGTTTCCCCCCCGGGCGACCCGAGCGCCAGAGCCAGCTCGCGCGGGAAACGGCGGCNCGCGCGGGAAACGGCGGCCGCGGTGCGCCGGAAGTTCTCGAGAGACACGTCACTTCCGCAGGTCAATCTAGCGCCGCGAGATCTCACCTACCCGGAACCAGTGGCCGTTTCCTTGGAAACGGCCCCGCTGCCGCTGCTCGCCGTAGCCGGAAGTTAGCTTGTTTTTCCTCCTCTCTTCTTTTGTTTACAGGTGAGATCCCTCCGTTTAATGGGGCGGATGGGCGAAGGAAGAAACTAATCGTGATTCCTGGCCGCGTCATTCAAGGCCGGCCTAACGCCGCTTCCTGTGAGGCGGGACCGTGGCAGGGGAGCCGCGCCAGCAGCCTGTGTTCACAGCCCTTTCCTACCGATTAGTAGCTATGTGACTTTGTGCAAGTTATCTGACCATCTGTCTAGTTTCCCCCACCTGTAAAAGTCTTACAATGACCTCAACCACCTAAAACACTTTCAGAACCATGACTTCATTCAAGATACATGTTGAATGAGTTGATTCCCCCATGTGGAATTGATGTCTTTCCTCCACTTAACTCCTAAAGCACTTTGCTCCCCATACGGCCACTTACATGTTGCAGAAATTTGTCTTCATAATCCATATCATATCCATTGCTTTTAACCTGCACGGAGTTCCTTAAGATCAAGCATCTGTCTTACCTCTGGACCATTTTAGGGCCCAACACACATCAACTGAAGATTGATGGTATCAATTCAAGGCCAAAGGAATCCCCAACTTGGGGTGCAGTTAAGAAAGAAACTTTATTCAGTGCAAACAGCTCAATTTGAAACCAGACACAATGGGTCTGGGCTGCCTGTCGCTACCTCAGCCAGTTAAGCAGAGACAAGGTTGAATCATATATGATTCATTTATTCCAAAATGCCGGCAGTATGGGAGCGCAGCAGGATCCATCCACATAAAACCTGCTCTACCTTGCCCCCCTCACCCCCCCATCAACCAGCTACTTATATTGGGCAGAAGCACAAAGATTACCTGGGGAAATGGCTAAAAAGATATAAGAATGGGCATAATGATTACAGGTTACAGGAAATGCGGGCTGAGGGTTGCAAAAGATTGGGGCACCTCCACCTCTGGTGGAGGGGCTGTGGGTTGGGGGTTTCCAAAGGGTGGACCCCTCCAGAACGCCACTGTTTCAAGAACTAGGTTGCTATCTTTCCATGAGAAAAGGAGAATAGACCTGGACCCGACTCCAAGGTCAACTCCCATGTCCTGGGGTGTACAACTAGCCAGGTTAGAAAGTGCTTTCTTTAATTAGAACACAACAATCATGGTTAACACAGTGTGATTAATATTTCTTATAATTATAGCTAAAAATCATGGTTATCAGAGCATGATAATTATTTCTGCCCCCAACAAATTGTAACAGCATGGCTGTGAAAACAGCCTGGAGCCAGGCACCTCTCCACACAGACAGCTCTGCTCTGCCCTGCAGTTGACTGTTCGGTTCTGTCCTGCTCCAGCCAAAGAAACACAGCCCTCAGCCTTCAGGAAAAAAGGAAAACACAAATACAGCACCCAATCCTGGTGGAAAGGGAAAGGACACTCTGAGTCACTGTGGAGTTTACTTGTAGAGAAAGAGGTCCACACCCCTTATCCCTGATTGGCTCATCCTCATGCAAATGAGGACTCCAAATCCGCACAGTTTGATTGGTCTAAAAGGCACTGTCCTGATTGGTCAGAATGGAGCAGCCCTGATTGGTTGGTGAAGAAACTGATGGGGGGGAATATAGCCATGCAGCTCTGATTGGGTAAGAAAGTTTCAGTCCTATTGGTTGAAATAGGATTTCAGGAACTCCTTTATAAGGGCAGGCTCCACGGGCAGGAACAGTGTATGCAGGCAGCTTGGGGAAGGCTTCTCCCTGAAGTGTGGTTTGTGAGAGTGGCCCTTGTATAGAAATGGCTGCTGGGCTGTTTTTAAATTTTAGGGCAGTTAGCCACTGGAGCCCTTCTTAGTATGTATCTTCTTTCTCAGAATCCACACACAAGATTTGGTGTGGGGACTGAGTAGATAAACACAAATTTAAAAATGTTATCCAACAGATACTGAGATTTATTGAGCATCTACGATATGCTGTACTAGGCACTAGTGATACACTGCTGAGTGAAAATAGTCATGGCCCTTTTCCCCTACAGATAATGAACAAAGAGAGACCCTAGAAAAAAGGGTATAGTGCTCTGAAGGAGTGAAACAGGTTCTATAAGGTCATGCAGTAGAGGAAACCAACCTAACCTGGGAACAAGAGGGAAGGCGTTCTTAAAGAAATGACACAAACTACCAACATAAACGTTCAAATCTGCGAAGAATTTTTTGAACCACACTGTGGAGAATTTCTGGGAAGCAAAATTTCAACAGATTGAGGTAAGACTCCAGAGAATGTCAGTTTTGCGCCTTATTTTATACATTACAATCAAAAGAGGAGACAAATGTGGGTTATATGAAATCCTTTTGGTGATAGATTAGGGAGGCAGGAGAAAGCAAAGCAGGGAAACCTCTGGTATTGCATAAAAAGTAAAATGATAGACGCATACCTCTTTTATGTAGGTGGGTGCAGGATAGTTAACAGTAAAAAATTAACAACAATGAAGGGACTTGTGGTCTCCGCAGAGCAGTGCATGTGCTTTGAGGGGGTCCAGAAAAAGAAAAATTATCTTGACACTCCAAAGATATGTTATCATAGATGCAAAAAACAAGAGACGGGCCCAGTGAAAGTAAAGATTGACTTTTGTCAGGGAAGATTCTAGCCTAGGACATGACTACCCACCATAAACTGCTTTTAGTTAAAAAGTCCTCAATTCATACCATCCTTTGTGGTTACTTTGGGTCTCTGAGTTTGCAAGGCCTTCCTTGAGTTAGTCAAGTGAGCATGTGGCCCCTTTTTGTCCACAAAATTCAGCTCTAAAGGAAGAGTAGGAGTTAATAAGATAAGGGAGGGAGAAGTTATACTATGTGAGAAGACCGCATGTGCTAAGACCCTGTGTTGGGAGGGAGCCTGCTGTCTGAGATTGAGGAACTGAAATGAAAGAAGGTGGTCAGAGGGGAGTGGTACGAGGTGGAGCTGCAAGGTCCACATCGAGCAGGGTCGGGATCAAGTAATCTGTGCCAAAGATACTGGACTTACCCTGAGAAGATCAGGAACCATTGAGAGCTTTATGTGAGCAAGTGGGGTGATTGGATTTGCACTTCGGAAAGGTTGTCTGGCTACCCATGGATTACTTTAGAGAACCGTTTAGGAAACTACTGCAGTAGTCAACATGAAATATAATACTTGTACCTTGAAAGTAGAAATGGAAATAAATTGGTGAATTTTGAACATGTTTAATTTTTTTAATGTTTTTATTGATTTTTTAGAGAGAGAGGATGGGAAAGGGAGAGAGAGAAACATCGGTGTGAGACAAAAGCATCGATCTGCTGCCTTCTGCAAGTCCCCAACTGGGGATAGAGCCCTCACTTCGGGCATGTGCCCTAACTGATCGTTGAACCAGCGACCTTTTGGTGTATGGGACAATGTTAAACCAACTGAGCCACACTGGTCAGGGCTGAACATGTTTAGATGAATGACTTTAACACTTGTACTCTAAGATGAAACTGCCCCTGAATGCTCTATGTGAACATTCGGTTCTCAGTTTTTGAGTTCTTGTAACATACAAGACAGATATCTTGACTTATAGGGCACATTTCCATGTACTTGCCTGGATTTTAATGAAAGCCAAATATGTTGCAGAGAAGTAAAACCTACAATAATTTAAAATAGCCACAGCTGCTACTGATACTTTAAAATTTGTTGCCTATTTAGATTATGGCAGCTGTTCTCAAAGTGGTTTCCCCAACCAGCATCAGCATCATTTGGGAGCTACTTAAAATGCAAGTTCTTGGACTCCACTCTAGACTTACTGCATCAGAAACTCTGAGGGTGGTGCCCTGCAATCTGAATCTAACAAGCCCTGCACTCCTTCTGATGCACACTAAAGTTTGAGAAAGCCTGGATTGTGGTATAGAGGAGCCAGGACACAAATTACATTCATATGGAATACTATGAGCTGTACATACTATGCAGCTGTAAAAATGAAAGATCGCTTACCCTTTGGGACAGCATGGATGGACCTGGAGAGTATTATGCTAAGTGAACTAAGCCAGTCAGAGAAAGACAGATGTCACATGATCTCACTCATATGTGGAATCTAATGAACAAAAAAAACTGATGAACAAAATAGATCCAGAGACATACTAGCATGGAACAGACTGANATGGACACAGACACTGGTATGGGGAAGCCTGGGGGTGTGGCGGATGTGGGGTGGAGGGGGTCAATGGGGGGAAAAAAGGGGACATCTATAATACTTTCAACAGTAAAGATGTTTTTTTAAAAAAGAAAGAAAAGTAGTGGAAGCTATTGGTCACCACGGGTGTAATTAAGTCATTGATATATTCGTTTAATAAATATGTGAAGGCTAAGTGTTATTCTAGGGGATGAATATGTAGCCATGAATAAGAAAAACTTTATGGTTTTATCTCTGTACCTTTTCACATGAAGCTCCTTTTGTCAGGAATGTGTACACACACACTAACACACACACACAATCACATACACATTACAGTCTCAAAAAAAAAATTACACTCATTTCAAAACAGCTAAGCTTCATTCCACCCTGCTCTTCCTCTCAAGAATGAAATAACTGAAAGATGTATGGTTACAAGGATAACCTTGAATATATTCTAACTTGTATTTTTTTTAAAGCTAGTCATTTAAAATCTGGCAGTTACTTAGGACAAAGCACAGCAGTAGGTGGAGATGCTACATTTAATCATCTGTTCTTACATTCTTTACTTTTTTAAAATTTAATTTTATTGTTGAAAGTATTACAGATGTCCTCTTTTCCCCCCCATTGACCCCTCTACCCTGC